ATACAGTAGAGCGTCGTTTATCCGAATCAATTGGGGACCGGGGTTGTTCGGATAACTTATTTTTCGGATAACCAATTATGTACGAAAAAATATATTAATTTATCCCGTGTTGAAATTTTTCTCCGTTGCGTGTCGCTTCGCGTTGAATTTTCGTCGATGTTAAGCCTAACGAAGACTATTGTATCGTTAAAAATTATTTATTTATTTTGTACAAACAAAAATAAATTGAAAAATATAAAAACAATAAAAAATTATACTTCACAAGTTAATTTAGTGTCAAAAACGTAAAATATTTGAGTAGCTTAAGACATAGCCAAAGATTGCAGCGCCACAGCACTAGCGAAAATTTAAATTTGCCAACTGGAATTCTTTCGGATAACCGACGTTCCGGATAACCGACTTTCGGATTAACGACGCTCTACTGTATCAACATTATTTATATAACATTTATACAGTTTTCAATTATCTGAGATAATTCTTCATCCGAAAAGAAACAAAATTCACATCCTTCATAATTAGAGTTGCCAGGTACTTGGGGTTAATAAAATCAAGGAAAAGGTGAGTTCTTCCCAAAAATATTGCGGTGCTTTAATTTAAAGACATGCAAGATGTGTATGACTTTCTGTGATAGAAATACATTTAAAATGTGTAAAAAGAAAAGATGCTTCATTATGGGAACAGTTTTACAATAAAGTCCTCCTGATGACAGTCGGAAAAAATCCGGTAGATCTGGCAACTCTATTTGTAATTAAATTCGTGACATTTGGGAGCGGCCATATTGTTACGCTTAGTACTTACTTAGTACTAGCAATGGAAGTAACAAGCTTTTTCTGAGCCCTGAGCACTGAAACCATTTCTTTTATTAAACGATCCATACATGCACTGATGCATTTAGTTTGTTTACTGAACGTTTTAAATATTTTTAGCATATTATTATATTAATACGAGTGTTTATAATTACGAAGAAGTGTAATTTTTACAGCAATATTTCCAAAATTAAGTGAGATTCTGAAATTGTCTTTTGTTGATACAAAAATGACTTCATTCTTATATAAAACAGTACTTGAACTTCTAGAAAAACGTAAAATGCATGAAAAGGTACGTAAAGAATTATGAAATAATTATACAGTATAATTTAATACTCATTTTTTGTCTTGAACATTTTCATTTGTGAAAATGAATTTTTTCTGTTTGACATTATCACATTTCTGTTCTCTTGGATAACTGCATTATGCATCATAATTATAATCATAAGCACAACTCAGAACCAAGGTATAAGATGAATTCTAAATAATTATACAGTATAATTTTGATAAAATTTTTAAACAAAAACTATTGATACTTTTCACATACAATTCTTAATTTCTATCATCATCATACTAAAATATTATTTGCTGATTAGTTTTCGATTTCTTTGGTAGGGACAACTTGGAATTGGACCATTGCCAATAAGTTTTGGATATTCATCATAATTAAAAATTATATAACCATCACCACTTTACAGAACAAACTTTATAATTTATGTATAAAATTTAAATTCTTTAAATAGTTCTTTATTTTCTAATGGTTTGGATTGGTTTTATCTATCCAAAGTTTAGTGTCACAATTAAGAGATGGCTCAGTTGATGTAAAAATTTACAGCCAAATTCAGTGATCAAGTCAAATTTTCTTTATGAATCTTACAAAGTATATGCATTAATTTTTTGAAATACAGTCGACTCCCCTATAACACTGTTGATAATTCTGTTTTACATGAATTCCATGTTGTACAAGTCACTTAGATTTTACAAATACGTGAGCCATTCACAGCCCGGCACATGTATTTGTAAGATTTAAGTGACTCGTACAACATGGAATTCATATAAAACAGAATAATCAACAGTGTTATAGGGGGGGGTCGACTGTAATGTGTGTTCTGAAGTTTTATTATCTAATTTTCATTATTTTATTAAAAAAATCTGTACATTTTAAATTCTACTTACCTTCGACCCCCTGAATATTTTCTTTGATTATTGGTCCTTTGTTCAACTTGTACTTCTTTTGCTAAAGCTGCTAACCATTCAGGCATTTCTTGCTTTGTTTCAGTGATCAATTCCACTAAATCCAGTGCCATATTTCGGTTCTTTTCATTGAAAAATGAGGTAGCTAGACCTATTTTTTTCAAATAGTTAACACACAGCAAATATTAAATCATAATAAAAATGATAAATGTATTTAATATAAAACTTTGCTAGATATAAAACTTTTCAGTTTTAAATCTGGCAATATTAGTTTACTAAATTTATTAAAGAATCAAACAATATGTCAAATCTCATTTATATCTTAGACAGAATNAGGAATTTCTACTATGTAGGAAAAATACGATGATTTTCTTCAATGGATGTTAGAAAGTTCAGGTTATGAAACAAAAGATCAAAAGTCTGGTTCTAATACTACCGAAAATAAATGTAAGTTCACTTCTCAAAAGTTTACGAGTTGCTAGAAATGAAATTAGAAAAATTTGCCACATTTTAAAAATTACACGAAACTCTCTTCCTTACTAATGCTGACTGATTCCACTGAGTATTAAATCTACTTGTAATGGGTGTAAAATTGTCGACGACTGTATAGGAAAATAAATAAATAAATGATAATTAAATACTTTATTTGTACAGTATAGTACTGTAAATCCGAAGAACAAACGATACATTTCAAATGCAGTAATACCTCGATTAGCGCTCCCTGACATAGTGTTGTTTCGAGATAGCTCTTTTTCGTTTAATCTTATATATTTTCTCAATGAAACCTAATATCATAATTAGTGCTATAGATACATAGCACTAGTTACGATATTAGGATACTTATAATAAAGTATATCCTTCTGGTGTGCCGAGTGCAGTAGTCTGTATTGAGCTTAATCTGTAATGAATGGTTGTAATATGTATTGTAATTTGAATTTAATAAGAAAACATCAATGAGAAATCAAACAAAAACTAATATAGAAGTCAACAAATTACTTATGAAAGTTTTGAAGTTTGTGATTAATCTAAAAATTAATGATTTATAAAATATGATATTTTTTTGCAGTTTATGATATTTTAATGCATTCTGACTAAGTTCCTGAAGCATACATCTATGGACCTTTAGATATATTTTGTATTTACAAAGTAAAACGGAAACTACCCAAATAAAAAAATTCTAGTTGAGGAGAAGTGCGACTAGGGCACTCAATTTAATGTTAAGACTATCCGAGAACCCACCTTAATAGTCTGGCTTCCCATTAAGTCCCGGTGCTAAGGATGTTTCTTTTTATTGCCCTTCTTTCTCTTATCCCGATAGGACTGTTCTCGCACACTAGTTCTTTTTCATGTCTTCTCCTGTGCCCTGCTAACTTACAAGGAAACCAGCTCACGCCTATCTTCATATCTGTGAGGGATGGTAATATCATTAGATGATCTAGAGCGTTTTCGGGAAGGGTAGGCACCAGGGCGGTAGCAAACTAATAAAAATAAACTCGCGAACTCAGTCAGTCACCATTTCCCTGCGGACTACTTCAGTGCTCACATATTAATTGACTATCACTCCAAAATCTTATACATTATTTCATCATTCGTTAATATGGACTTTAAATGAAACAACGACCTCTATTCGAGGCCATTAAGAGTAGCGAGAAATGCAAAACTTCGTATAACTTGCATCTGATTAGTCGAAATGTATAATGTGATTTAAAATGGTGATCTCTGATCGGTCGATTTGAGATTGTGTCACGTAACCAATTACGACCACTCAGGAGCAAAACGTCATAATATAATACGGTGGCCTCCACGTGACGGTAATGACACATCACAACATAACGCCGTAATATGCCGTAATAACCGGACATGACTTTAACACCTCGTATTTGATAATATATTTATGAACAAATTATTAACATGTTCATACCTATTAAAATATATTGAAAGTAAATAATAAAGATATACTATAATATACATAATATAATATAATGACTAATATTTTTAGTGTTTTTTTTTTTACGTTTAGGTTATGACACATCATTGTTATCGTATGGAGACTGCTATATTAGAGTATGACGTCCTCGATCTTGATTGCTGCGTTTGCCGGTAATAATTTCAACTCCATGTGAAACAACTTCTTAAGAGGAGCTGAAATTATTAGCAACAACATGCTGCATTAGCGACAAACAGCAGAATTTTTCTCACTTGTCGGCACATATTCTTATTCAATTTATCAAAGAAGAAAAAGTCTGACATGACAGCCATATTTCTTGTTTGAATCTCACTAAATACAAGTTGTGAAACACGAACGTTTTGAAATACCATAGTTGGACAGCTTTAACTTATCAATGATGGCTCCTTTTTCCTGCAGAGATTAAGCACACAAAGCAATAGCTAGATAGTAATACAAAGACAAAAAATAACAATTTTTTGTCTTCGTATTACTCACTTTTCGTTGTTATGCGTTGTCTGGAATTGCTTTGGAAAATAATCTTGTCCACAATTGTAGATGTTATGTTCAGAATAGCCATCGTTAATGGTCAGAATTGATTTCTAGTCATCGAGAGCATCTTCATTTACTTTTACAATTTTGTCACAAACCATCCAAAACAATTATGTAAAGCAGATGAAACTTATCAAGTCATTAATTGCTGGCATGTAAGCTCGAAATATCAAGTTTCTTGGCAAACATTAAGGCATTTCTTGTAGCATCGGTCCTGAGACAGACAGATCTTTCGCCTGACTGCGAATGAATCTACTCCAAAATTGCTCTGTTGACATCTTCATACGATTGAGCACATTTTTTGGTGTTCTCGTTAGTGTCTGCTTCTCGTTCACCGATATAAAATACCTTATTACCATGAATTGCTTGGATTTGGGCCTTCCCATAATTAGATTTCTTTATCGATTATTGTAGCGATTTTCAAGTTTCATTTTGCTTAATTACAAAATATTGTATAAAAGACAATTTGGCATTAGTAAGTACAGTATATACTACTTACAGTATTTTACTCTTAGATTATATTTTCAGAACACGTGGTAGCATGTAAGAGCGCTTTTTAAGGTACACGTAAAAAGTAAAACAAAAAAACATTATTGTACAGTAAAATACTGGCCTTTTCAAGGCGTTTCAAATTGCATTAATCATAAGAGAGAAAAAAGTTGATTTCGGAAAAACCCGGTAATGTAGGAGATAAAATTCTGAAAGGCTCTGCAATCTTCAGAAATTTCACTATATTAAAAAGCAGAACTGAATAATATTTATAACACTTTTCATGTTATGCAAACTAATATTTTCTAGAAGCATAGAATTGTTTTTAAAATTAATACTGTGTATAATTTACATATAAAATTTAAAAACTCATAATATTTTTATTTTTATAAAATCATTGAAAAATATTAGATCTGACCCGCGACGAAATTATCTCCCAGTGCATTTTGTTTTTTATTGTCGGATTCTTCACAACTGCTGCCAATATTAACTTTATCGTATACAGTTTAGCATTAAATCCCGAATGCCAAGAAAAGTTAGCAAAAGAATTACAAGAAAATCTTCAAAATCAGGTCGGTTTTTCTTTTTTCTAAATATAAAACTTAACTTGAATGTGAATATTTGTAATATATTTTAATAGGAAGAACTACAATACGAAGACGTTCAGAATTTACCTTACTTAGATGCAGTTATTTCTGAAACGTTGAGATATTACTCACCAGTTTCAAAGTAAATACTTCTTATTTTTCATAGAAATAAAAGTAAATATGTTATCATTTTCAACTTTATATTTTATTTCGTAGAGTTATTCGCATGGGACACGAAGATTATCATTTAGAAGGAACGGATATCGTTGTTCCTAAAAATATGATGATCGGAATACCAATTTATGCAATTCATCAAGATCAAGAGTGGTTTCCGAATCCCAAAAATTTTAATCCCGAAAGGTAATTATTTATTATGCTTTATTAAGAAAATAAATGATTGTCTTTCTTGACATATCTGAAAAGTAGTACCAAGTTTTTTTATATTATAGGCTGTATAATACACTATATATAAAAATGTATAGTTTATCTAAACTTATATAAATTCCTATATTTTATATTCATTCAAAAAGAACCGTTTTAAGTAGGACTTGTATCAGGTAGTAAAATATATTTAAATGTTACTTTCTTCTGTTTGTATACAGAAAAATGGGAATGCTAAAAGTCGATAATATTCGCATGAAAATTACTGTACTTTCCCTCCTATGTTCTTAACTAAGAAACTATTTTCTCAAATAAATTTTTCATATATTGTACCGCTTCTAGTGTGCACTTATTACAAATTAGGAGTTGAGTGTAGATGTGCAAACTGTACAGTTGGTAGGTAGAATGAGAAAAATTGTGATGAAGAATGGTTCAATGAGCTTGAAAACTTAAATTATGTCATCATTAATTAATAATGCATAAGAATATATAGGTGAAAAAATATTATAAACAGATATTAAATTTATAGCAGAATTATCTCGATACAATACAGTAGTCTCGAAAACTCGGCCTAATGTAGACCGAAGGGTGGCCGAGTTTGTGAAAATGCCGGGTTATCGGGAATGGGATTAAAAAAATAAGTATGAGTGTTTCCTCAGAAAACACTGTACTATACTTATATGTATTGTTTACTTGAGAATACAACAGAGAATAAACTGCCCAAATACCCTTAAACAAAGGAAAAGCACGTCCTCTATGAAGGCATAGAGCCTTTACTACATGAAAATGAAAATTAATGAATGCACTGTGTACAGTAATTTACCTGATAAGACAGACCTCAGAAAAATACTTTATGAGGCATAAAGCTGTCTATGATGAAAATTAATTAACTAAGAATTTTTTTGCCTTGCCAGGGTGTGGCCGAGTTATCCGGACTGACGGGTTATCGAGTGCCGAGTTTTCGAAACCCTACTGTAATTGTTTATATTGGCTAAATGAAATAAGGAAGTAAAGAATGTTTCATTAGACAGTTGAATGACCGAACAGTTACAGTGGTAACCTATCGTTTTGATCAAATCCGGACTGGTCGAAAAACCCCAAAATTTTTTAGGTGATCCCACTGGATATGTAGGGCCTCGTCCCTCACCAGCCCGGCCGCCTTATTTGTAGGCCTGGCCGAATCCATAATGGACTTGCTAAAAGAAGGCCTTCTTAGTGTCCACAGAGTGGAAACTGTTAAACAAGAGTAACAACAAACATAAACAAGCCGAGCTGCATTGCATTTTATTTATGTTTATTGTATTTCTAAAAGATTGTTACATGAAAATAATAATTATGAAAGTAAGTGTTTTAACAGAAATTACACAATAGAATTGGACCTGATATTTGGGAACCATTGCTTTAAATGATACAAATATTCGAAGAGTGTATTAAATTCGCAACTAAATATATTTTTAAGAATATAGTTCATTACAACAAATATAATATACTAGTAGCTCGGGACGCCCCCTAGTGGGCGTTCTTTACAAATTTCCATGAGGCACGGTTCTTTTGACTTTTTTGTTCCTATCAATATGCTCTACAGCTCTGTTAAAGTCCGAATGGTAAGATTTACCCTCCGAATGAAGAGGTGGCGACCCCCCAAACCGTAGACCCCTGTACTGACAATAAAGTCAAAGGAACCATACCCGTACTCGCGATCCTTCGCGAGATATAAGATCCTGAAATAATAAATTCCTATTACAAATATACTGAATTATTTATATTGTTATATTGACCAAATAATAATTTATTGGCCAAANTCATCATTAATTAATAATGCATAAGAATATATAGGTGAAAAAATATTATAAACAGATATTAAATTTATAGCAGAATTATCTCGATACAATACAGTAGTCTCGAAAACTCGGCCTAATGTAGACCGAAGGGTGGCCGAGTTTGTGAAAATGCCGGGTTATCGGGAATGGGATTAAAAAAATAAGTATGAGTGTTTCCTCAGAAAATACTGTACTGTACTTATATGTATTGTTTACTTGAGAATACAACAGAGAATAAACTGCCCAAATACCCTTAAACAAAGGAAAAGCACGTCCTCTATAAAGGCATAGAGCCTTTACTACATGAAAATGAAAATTAATGAATGCACTGTGTACAGTAATTTACCTGATAAGACAGACCTCAGAAAAATACTTTATGAGGCATAAAGCTGTCTATGATGAAAATTAATTAACTAAGAATTTTTTTGCCTTGCCAGGGTGTGGCCGAGTTATCCGGACTGACGGGTTATCGAGTGCCGAGTTTTCGAAACCCTACTGTAATTGTTTATATTGGCTAAATGAAATAAGGAAGTAAAGAATGTTTCATTAGACAGTTGAATGACCGAACGTTTAGAGTGGTAACCTATCGTTTTGATCAAATCCGGACTGGTCGGAAAACCCCAAAATTTTTTAGGTGATCCCACTGGATATGTAGGGCCTCGTCCCTCACCAGCCCGGCCGCCTTATTTGTAGGCCTGGCCGAATCCATAATGGACTTGCTAAAAGAAGGCCTTCTTAGTGTCCACAGAGTGGAAACTGTTAAACAAGAGTAACAACAAACATAAACAAGCCGAGCTGCATTGCATTTTATTTATGTTTGTTGTATTTCTAAAAGATTGTTACATGAAAATAATAATTATGAAAGTAAGTGTTTTAACAGAAATTACACAATAGAATTGGACCTGATATTTGGGAACCATTGCTTTAAATATTAGAAGAGTGTATTAAATTCGCAACTAAATATATTTTTAAGAATATAGTTCATTACAACAAATATAATATACTGTATTTTATATCACAACAACTTATTAGATGTATGTAAAATTCAAGATACAAAAAGCAAAAAATTATAATTCGAAATATTTCAAGATACTATATAAACTCAATTATCCTTTTTCATTGAATATGTTTCAGATTTCTTCCAGAAAATAGGAATCTCATTCGTCCTTATACATATTTTCCCTTTGGATTGGGACCGAGAAGTTGTTTGGGTATGAAATTTAGTCAATTGGAAATGAAATTGTGTCTGGCAAATGTTTTTCGCCATTTTCGCTTTTGTCTTTGTGAAGAATCGAAGGTTGGAATTTTTAAATTTCACAAAAAAATATTTTTAAATTAATATTTTGATTCATTTTTATAATTCAATCCCAATTTCAGATGGTGATGGATTTTAGTTTTGGTTTAGACGTCCATAGTCCTAAAGAAGTTATTTTAAAAATGGAATGCAGGAATTAAACTATTTGCTGCTTAAGTTTTAATAATACTTTTTAATTATTACATTTTCGATAAAATAATTAAATGTAATTAATAAATATTCAAAAAAAAGAATAATAAAATTATATTTCTAATATTATTTTGCATATGGTATTGTACTTTTTCATTCTCAGTCTTGAGGACACTTAGAAGTTCTTTTACCAAGTCCACCGTTGGTTCTGCCAGGTCGTGATATGTCGGGCCCTATCCCTCACTACCCGGCTGATCCATTGTAGGCCTGGCCGAATGCATAATGGGCTTGCTATAAAACGCCTTCTTAGTACCCACAGAGAGGAAAGCGTTAAAAAAAAAGCATTGTATAGTCTTATATTAAGTAAATGCTTATAAATTCCATCAAATCCCCTATTATATTGCAAAGAAAATTGCTGTATGTTATACAGTTTTTTAAGAAGTTTTCTATATGCAACTGTGATTTGCAAGTGTTAAGGCTATGATATGACAGATAAAAAAATTTAATCTACAATAAATATTAAATTATTAAATGAATGAAAATAACATATGTATAGGCCTACTTATTAAAATGTAGAGATAATATTCATATATTCAATACAAAGTTATCAAAATATCAATGTGAGCTATAATGCATTATTTGTAATACATGTACAGAGTGTGTTTTTATCTCTGTATTATAATCTACAAATTTATTTTACGATTTATAATATATTTTTAAAAATTTAAATAAAAAAATATAAAATATTTAAGTATTTGTGTTATTACGGGAAAACAGAATGCCAAAAAATAAATTATTTTTAAAGTAGAAATGAAAAATTATTATGTAATAATATTCAAGTAAAATTATGCTAAAAGTCAAAATATAATATTATTAAGGCAATTTTTTCGTATATATTTAAAATAACCCATTATTTTTTTTTTGTTTATAATTAAAAAAGGATTTTTTCCTTCCTATTTATTATATATATTTTCTTATGCACGCTATTCAACTATTATTTAAAGTTAATCCAACGGTATTAACTTTAAATAATACAACGAATTTCACAAAAAATAAAAAACAAATAGCAGGAAATAGGAAATGACGACAATGTGAAAATTTTTAGCCTATAAAAAACAGTTTATCTGTATTACTTTGTGTTGTTTTCCTTATTTTTTAAATCTTATTTAATAAATGTGTTTTGGCAAATTATTATGCCAAATTGAAATAAAAATGTGAAATGGAAATCATAATGACTTATATTTTTTATCACCCAAATTTTATTTTTCAAGAAAAAATTTACCGGTAATTTACCGTAAACCGGTATTTTAATTTTCATTTACCGAATAACCGGTAAATGAAAAAGTCGGTAAATTTACAATCCCTACAGTACACAAATGTATATTAAAAAGAACATATTCAATATATATATATAAACAAAATTAAATTACGTACAAATGACAACAGATCAAAAAGTAAAATTCGAGCACATATACCGCATCTTTCAATTAAATAACTACCCCAACAAAATTATTAACATGCGGCTGCATAACCGTACGATGCATATCCTTACTAAATTATAGAAAATAAACGTACTTTTTCCATCAAAAAGGTGTTCCTTTGTGATTTATTCTCAACAGGAACACTTTCGAAGGACATATAAGATTTCACCCTATCCATAGAAATCAGAGCAAAAACTAATACAAATTTATTTGAAATACAGTAGTTAAGTTAAAAGAACAATCACGATAATATAACATTGGATACATGCTTTATTTTATTTATTTATTCATTTTTCATATTCATAAATTGCGAATAAATTTGAATAGATCTAAAAGTATGCCACAGAAATGCAGTATCAAATTTATACTTCCGGTAATAACAGATATAGAAGTTTGATACCTCAGGTATATTAATCTATCTAAACACTGCATTTTTGCGTGCTATTTTGATAATTTAACCTTTGAACTTTAAAGATAAAAACAGTTGTAACTTTAATATTTTAAAATAATAATGTATATCTTGCGGCATGAATCTTTGAAAGATTCTCATGCGGAATTTAAATGTACTTCTTCATTTAAAATCTTTTCAATGACAATGCTGTAGGTTATTTGCTTAATTTATTAAAAAGTATGAGAGTTTTGGACACTTCTGCTGTTATTCTATTAAGATTGACAGGCAGAAGCGCATACAATAATACAACGATCTATTAAGTATTGAAAATTAGTGAAATACAGTATAACGAACATCAAATCTGACGTAAAGAAACAGATCGAAAGTACTTTCACACAATTCTCCACGAATAGATAAACTTTTGATAATTTTATCTGTACAGTTTAAAGATAAATTTTTTTTCAAATTTATATCGGTCTAGACTAGTGACTGATTGTTAAGGGTATTTAATTTCTAAATAATTGAGCTGCAATTTGAAACAATTCTAGTCCTATAAATTCACACTGTCGTTCGCCCGTCCGTTGTTCGTCTATATTTCCTTAATTTCAAGAACGGAGAAAGACGAGACCAGATATGGAAACTTTATGGGCAGGAGGCCCCGATTAACTGAATACGAACCGGAAGTAACGTTACTTTAATTCAAAATTTTCCTCTGAAAGCAGTTAATAGATGAACGGAACGACTCAATTCTTAAAGAAAAAGTATTATGTACAGGGAAGAGAAAGACACTACAATACTAATTCGCGGTAAACAGCATATATTTTAAATTACGTAAATGAAAAATATGATTAAAAATTGCAGTCCTGTATTATGACGATAAAACAATAAATAATTGTTCATTTATATTCAAAAATATTAAATTTATATTAAATTAAATTAAAGTTAAAAAAATCGTCGAACCGGTGTTTAGATTTAATTCTATATAGATAATTTCAATATGTTTCGATTTTCGATTTATAAATTTATAGTAAAAAAAAATTTCATATCATATGAAATCACAGAATGAAAAAGTAAAATAAGGTACTGTAAATTGTGCTAATTTACAAATCATTATCTAGCTTTGCATACAAAGAACTCTCTTTTCTTTATAATTTAATATTCTGCTGTTATAAAATTATATATCAATTATGTTATAAATAAAAATATCATTACGAGAAAATTCTATTTCTGACATCAATTGTGTATCTAATTCAATATTTTTTTTTAAATTTTATATCTTTTTATTTTATTTTGCAGCATTACAGTATAATAATAACGTATATCGTCAATAAATTTGAAGTTCAAATGGACTACTTTCTATTTCTACTTTCAGCCATATTGGATTATTGGATTTTTCATCGCTTTAATATCAGTTACTTACATGTAAGGTTTTTCATTTTCCTCTCTTAACTTAGAACAATTATTAAATATTCTAATTAACATACTAATATACTAACATACAACTAACTAACATTTAATTTAAATACTTTAGTTATCTCAGTATAGTGTATAGTTACTGGAAAAGAAGAGGAATTCCTTCACCAAAAACAACGTGGTTGTTGGGTTCATACGGGACAAGATGGAAAGAGGTACATTTCTTATTAATACTATAAAAGATTTCAAATTTACTTTTAAATTGTTAATTTAATACGTAATTTCATATAAAATATGTATTTTTAAGCCTCAAGGTTATATAGAATTGGAATGGTATAAGAAATATGGAAGAATATTTGGGTACGTTGTATCTTAATTTATAATTGATTTCGTTTCTTTTTTGTATTAAATTATCGCCATTATTTATATTCTCCAGTATTTACGAAGGATTAAATCCCATTCTGATGGTTTCTGAACCGGAATTAATTAAAAATATATTGATAAGAGACTTCAATAAAATACCGAATCAAAAAGTTAGTAATTTTGTTATTTAATAATAAATTTTAATTCTGATTTCTAATTGTTTTTTTGAAAAAATTAATAATAATTAGCGATGGAAATTTGGAGATCGAATTATCGATAATATGGTTATCACAATGGAAGATGAGGAATGGAGAAGAGTAAAATCTACTCTCACGCCAATATTTAGCATTGCTAAAATTAAAAAGGTAACAAACTTAAAATTGTAAATTATTATATTTACAAAAGTGATTTTATTTCGAAAATGAGCAATACAGTGTTATAGGGGGGTCGACTGTGTGACCATAGGGTCGGTATCTCCTCGATACCCCGTCAAGATGACACCACTGTATTCTTCGGTCGATACAGAGACCACCAGTTCGCGCGAGCGGATAGGTATGAGGGTTGGACCCGGAATGAAGGAAACGGAGAGAAAAACGGAAGAAACTGCACTCGAGAAGTTTTAACATAAACAACCGTTTATTTATATATATTTTTATCGTAGGTTTACATTAGTAAATAAAATACTTCTATTTCTAGTTCTAGTTCTAGTTCTAGTTTCATCGATCATTTTCTAGTTCTAGTTACAACTGATTTCGCGTTTAGTTTATGCGGAGAGAGAGAGTGTACAATAGTGCGCGGGCAGGATAAATACCTTAGGTAGTATAGGAGATCAAGTCCAGCACAAAAAACGTTCAATAGTTCCTTCCAGTTGAACATGTATTGAGGTCAGTTGAGTTCAGTTCTAGTCTTGTAGGCGAGAAGGAGGTGTTGGTTGACGGAATCTCGGCGGGAGGTAGACGTTTGGAGCGCACACACAGCCACCAATAATAACTTCCACACTTACTCATCGTGCCTGTCCCCTTTTATATCAAGTCCTCATTTTCGACCCTTTCTCCGATTTCGTCAGCGATGACGATCTTCTTGGTCCAATGAGGAGACGGGTGACACAATCGTGACAAAGAAATGTACTCATCTCAACAAGGAACCCAACTCGTGGGAATCGAGTTTTTATGGATTTTTTTTTTCCTTTTTCTCTTTTAATTTTCTGTTTTCTCGTTCCGTCTTTATAAAGTTTATAAAAAATTTTTTAGTTTAAAACACAAAATTTTTGGTCCTCACAACTGTATTATTATTCTCTGGAAAACTTAACTTTCGATTGTTAAAAATTGTTAGAAATTAGAAAAGCGATAAATGTTATTGTTGTATGAAATGAGGGTGTTCATAGATTGCAAAATATTACACTATTATTTTGTACAAATTTTTCTATTGACATTATTTTCATATATAATATAGTAAAAAAAAATAACATCAAGTGTAACTCCCTTTTAGTCATAAGTAACACCGAAGGAATAAATAAATAAATAATAATAATAATAATAATAAATATATATAAGGAATTATTATCAATATTTATTTTATCGAATTCGATAAAATAAATATTTTGATTCGTTATGAAATTTTTATATAAACTTTATGAACTTTCTTAATTCTTTGTAACATTATTTTTGTAAACAATTTTTAGCTTATTCCAAAAATCAACAAATGTGTCAAAGCTCTAGAAAATAATCTGTACGAAGTAGCGAACAATGGTAAACCTGTTAACTATACACAGTAAGTTTATATATTTATATCAATAATTTATTAATGAATATTATAATAATGATANATAAGAATATACTAATTCCATACAAACCACCAAACCAAAACCAGCACTGTGAAAACAAAAAATTTCAGAACTCTGAAAGTATAGCATAACTTTCCAAGTCACAGTAGAGGAATTTCTTACAACTGATGCTTATGTTGAAACAAATAGACTCCACATTAACCAGCGTTCAAAAAGTTACACTTATCAGTGAAGCAAAAACAAATGAAAAGGAAGAACAGAAACAAATTGCAGATGATTCTCCATCTTCAACAGCTGAAGCAATGAAAAATGATTCATATGTTAGAAAGATACTTTATGAGTAAAGGAGACTTATAAAATGAACATTTGAGAGAAGTAATTTGCAAACAGAATTTTAATAAAGTGCATACTAATGTAACAGATTCTTTTATCAAAAAGAAATATTAAAATACAGTGTTGTAGAATTTCATATTTAGTATTACAATAATTAGTTAACACATTTAGTTAGTTGTGTACAGTACTATTTTTTTCCTTTTATATAATACTGTATTAAAATCTTATTAACATGGACTGATTATAATGCAATGGCTGTAATGGTCTCAATATAACAAAAAGAAAATAACTATACATCTTCTAACATATCATCAGTTATAACATACCCTATTCTAATTTCCTGAAAGGATGTGCGATAAGCAGATTCAATTGTATATAGTGGTTACACAGTTCTAGGAAATTCCTGTATGGTATATACAGGGTTCCTACTCAAATTTTTGTTTTAATTTCCATGACTTTCCCTGACCAACTTTGTACAAATCCCCTGATCCTCACATCCCTTATAGTATGGCACACTGACATAAAACAGCATTGGATTTACTATGCACAATGTTTTGCTTCTCCAACATTTTAATTAATTGTTTTTTCTAATTAACAGTTATATATATTTTTTATAATTGTTGAATTATTGAAATTAAAAATAAAATGTATTATTAAAATTCTGTTATTAATCCACAACCATAAATCTACATGGCTTTGAAAAAAAGAAAAAAATAAATTATTTTTTATTATTCATTAACAAATTCTATATAATCCACGTACTGTATACAAAGTATATATTTATTACATTTATCCCTTAATAAATTTCCTGAAGTTTATAAAATATTAATAAACTGGGAAAAAATTCAGAAATTGTTTTGTTATGCAATCAAAATTATTAAAATGAAAAATTATAAATAATACCATTTAAACTATTTATCATTTTGTCTATTTTGTAAATTTTTGGAAAAATTTTGGGTCCTGAAAATATTATGCACCCCTTTTCATAAGTTGTATTGCACCACATTACTTCTTGCTGCCTGCAGATAGCTACACTTAGTCAAGCATACTGTCAGCAAAAAATCAACAAAGCAGCCAAAGAAGCAAATTCCCTGACTTTTTGATAATTTTTACCATATTCCCTGACATTACATGACTTTTTCTGAAAACTAATGAAAATCCCTGACTTTTTCTGACTTTTCAGGTGTGTAGGAACCTTGTATACTGGTTTATATTAAAAAAACATACCGGTATCATTATGTTGTTTTACTAATATATGCCAGTTTAGAGACATATATTGTTTTAAATTATCTGCACAAAATTACAGTAATTACTTAATAGTAAAACATTATAACATTTCTACATATTTTAAGATATTTTATAAATTCAAATATTATATTTCATCGAATATGTTTATATTTTAGATTTCTCCCAGAAAATAGAAATCTCATTCGTCCTTATACATATTTTCCCTTTGGATTGGGACCGAGAAGTTGTTTGGGTATGAAATTTAGTCAATTGGAGATGAAATTGTGTCTAGCAAATGTTTTTTGCCATTTTCGCTTTTGTCTTTGTGAGGAATCAAAGGTTGGAATATTTAAATTTCACAAAAATTATTTTTAAATTGACATCTTGATTCGTTTTAATAATTCAACACCCTTTTTAAAGTTGGTGATGGATTTCAATTCTGGTTTCGAAGTCCACAGTCCTAAAGAAGCCATTTTAAAAATCGAATGTAGAAATTAAAATACTCAAAACTTAATTAATTTGTAACAATGTGCTTCTATTAATAAAAATTATAATGTTAATACGTATTTATGTATTTTTGTTTAAAAAGTGACAATAATAAATGAAAAAAGTTTCGTTTGTTTAATTTATGTAATGCGAGTTTTGTACAATAGCATTATGAAATCCTGTGCAACATAAGTGTATTTTTTTGGCTTATATTACACAGGATTATTGTAGATAATTATATGTGTATGGGTAGTAATATATATGGATTGTATGTGGTGCATATGTACTTTGCATTTTTGTAGCGATATCGAATACTTACTGATTATGCGGTTTACAAATGCAGTTGTAACTTTCTGTAATTGTATGTACTGCGAATAGTTACGTTACAGTAAATAATTCTAAGAAAAATGGTTTCCTTTATTTCAAACTTATTAATACGTTCATTTTTTCAAGCGTTTCTCATTTGATCTTGTCTGATCTAGAGAAGAGCAAAACAAAAGCTCACAAGAGCTTCGTAAGAGTCACTCAAGAAGCATTTGTGAGGCACTTTTTTAAGATGAAGGGGGTATATTTTAAGTTAAATAAATTTAATATATAAATTATAAAATATGTCAATTATAGAGAATAGAGCCCGAGAAAAGGTGTTCTGGAGAATTAATATTGTAGGCGACCTGGTTTTACCGATCTAATGTGAATTAACTGTTGATTTTGAATAATTAAACTGTTAAAGTTCCTAATTGCTCGTTNACATAATCAGAGATATATTGAAAAACCTTTAATTATACTCAAAGCACAATTCCATGCGTGCACAGAGGAAAGCACGATTGAAATGATATAAGGCATATAAAAATTAAAAAGTGAATGACTGGACGAGCGTCATATTTAGTGACGAATAGCGGATGTGCATAGGAATAGACGACGGCAAGGGTTTTTTATTTAGCAACTACCTGGGAAAAAAAGCCGTCGAGCATGCCGAAACACAAAACAGAAGTTTTCTCAATCTGCCATGATAGGAGGCACTACGAATGGCACAGGACTTGGACGAATGAACATTATTAAAACAACTGTGAACACTTAGTGTTATATAGAAATTTTGAAACACTTTTTACTTCCGCGCTTTGCAGATTGGTTTGAAAATGAAAATCTTTTGTTTTATCAAGATGATGATCTGTTGTCAGTAAAGAAACTCTATTATACAGTTTCACGCTCGGAATGGTATCAATGTTTTTCCATGGGCAGCAAACAGCCCTGAAATAAAGCCTGTAAGAATGGGACGGAACTAAAACGAATGACAATAAATATGTAATAAGTAAACCAATTTATCAGAGAAGAATTATGCAATTTGGGTTAACTGGGCAGATA